TTAAGTTCAAAAGTTTTCCAAAAAAGATGCCAATATTTACATGAAAAAGGTTCTCTACGTATGTGTAAGTTGGCATCCAGAGATGCTTAGGTTAATTTTCTGTGAAGCGCATTCAGATTATTAAAATGACCTGCATATAGTTCAGGCTTCTGAGGTGTCTGAGATGGGGTTTTTCAATAGTGTCAAGACCACTGACTTTAAAGATAAGCACTTGCCTTTAAGCCTTAAAATCAGGGAAAAGAAAACGTGGATCGAAGAAGTAGATCTTTTTTTTTTTCTTTTCTGTCAACTACAATACAGTGTAACATAAAAGCAAGAGACAATTTAAAAATCAACAAATAAAAAGAAAGACTAATAAGATGACATATGGATGAGAAGACAGCGAGCATTCAAATCTTTCAAGGCAATCAAAACATCTAATTGGAGTCTAGTATATTGCCAACATATTACTACATTAAAAATCCTAGATGTAATCATCAAATTAATCACTGCAAATTTGTCTTAATTTAACAATATGGCTTCCATCTTCATTATTCACCAGTGAAAGAGCATTGATTCACTGAACTATAATTATAGTGTCACAAAGCATGAAGCTTAGACAGGGGTGAAATACTTTCTATCTACTGTTGAGAGTAAGTGACTGGACAAGCCAAAAAACATTGAGATAATGAAATTGAAATGTGTGTGGGAATGTGGAATCATGCTTTTAATTCAGTATTTTTGATTTGTCAGATTAATAAAATAATGCCAGTTTGTTAATTCTTTGCTCTGTTGTAAAGAAAAGGTAAAGAAAAGTTCTCTTCTGCAAAACCATGGATGTTATAGCAACAATACTATTAAGTAATTAATTAATTATGTAATATTTAATTGTTAGACACTTTATACACTTTATTCTGTATATGACATTTTATACACTATATATTGCATATTAAATGTTATGTTAATGATGGAACACATGCTGCAATGGTTATACAAAAATAAATTGAATTTGAAATCAATTAAATTGAATACACATATACCTAATCTGAAGCACATGTATATATGTGTGTTTAAATTAAAATAAAAATTAAAGCTTTTTTGAAGCATGCTTTATGGGATAATATCCAGGCATTCATTAAAAATTATCTAAGTATTTTCGAATAAATAAAAAGCTCTATGTAATTTGACTTCCTTGTACCTAGAATACTGATAAATAAGCTGATTCATTTTTCAGTCTCTGTTTGCACATACCCTACACCTGATATACTGTAACTGATCAACGCTACTAGTGAATAAGCACTGCTGCTATACTGTGTAAAAACAGACCTACATGCATTGAAACGTAAATTCAAGTAATAACCCAAGACAACACCTCTCAATGATGGCTGGACCAGTGAGCATAATAATTGTGAAGCCTTTTAACCAGTTCTTTATCATCAACTGCATTCATGCTTACACACTTATTCTTAGATACACATTTCATTCAATGGGATGAACCTGACCACATTGAAATACACTAGTAATGTTAGACAAATGCATGTACTATATTGTAATGCTAAAATTCTTACAAAGACAGAATGAAATGGTTTTATGTATGCATATAGTTCTAGAGCAAGCAGAGTTCAAATTCCAACATATTCAGGCTGGAATTGATTATTTACTAGTATTGATTTTTTAAGCAAATGGTACATGCACAATATGATTTGTGCATTTTTCTGTTAATTAGTTTATCAATACATTAAAATGATAATCAGTAATTGAAAATGCGTTTCACAAAAGTTAGTTAGTTAGTTCATTAGTTAGTTCGTTAGTTAGTTTTAATTAAGTCAAGGGCCAAATATTTATCTAATTTATCTAATTATCACATTAGTTTTCAAGTTTTTAACCATACATTGACTTATATTTCATAGTGAATGATAACTGATTACTTACTAAACTGTGTGACTTTATTTAAGGAGTGAGGAATACTGTAAACATAGACACCCGAAACGTTATATTTATATATTTAGCTATGCCTATAGTGAAAGAAAGAAAGAAAGAAAGAAAGAAAGAAAGAAAGAAAGAAAGAGAATAATCAGCATGTTAAATTTCATGCTGATGGGGGTGGGGTCATGCAGTAATCAGTATGTTAAAAATAAATTCTCCACTGTTCAGTTAAAACCCACTTTTTAAGGCAAAATAGTGATCCCCTTAGCACAGATAAAAAGGCTGAAAGCAGATCTTGGCAGTGCTCTTGGAAAAATGTCATAATCATGATGCTAAAGAATGAGAAGATGAAAAGAGGGAATGACAAGCTGACAAATGGAAAGGTAAGCATGAGCTGTGGCTCCTTCATCGAGTGCACCTTAAGCCAGTTTGCTGAAAGCAAAATATACAGAAGCTTAATGACTCATGCTTCCATTTGTAACCAAGCTATCCCAGGCAAGGTGTATTTCTGTGATAGTTCACAAGCATACAGTGTAATCCAACATGCTGTCCAGTGCCCATTCTGCGTTGTTCTTCTCATCTCTCTGCTCTTAAAAATATATTACACTTTCTGTCCAGCAGTGCCAAGCATAAGGAAAATATCTGGATATATTTAACAAAACTCACTAACAGATATAAATGGTGCCAAACCTTAAACATGTTCAATATAAGATCATCCACTGGGTTAACATTTTGATAAAAAAAAAAAAAAAAAAAAAAAGTTTATGGTAAGATGTGAGGTGAGCATTTATCACTTGAAATCTAACTAAACTACCTTGACTTGTTACAGTTTCTACAAATTGTGTAGGGTAATAGGTTGCTTAAAGAAGTAGTTTGTAGTCAGAATTGCAATGAAAACATTGGCAAGTCTCTTTTCATCAAACCCCTCCTGTGAAATTATGGATACCAGCCTCAAACTTACAAATGATTCCCACATGTATGAAATTGCAAATGCAGTACAAACTGTTTATTAGCTATAGTTTTTGCTTCTTGTTGCATCATACAACTTTTAGACTTTTAGATCAACTGAGACCATGGCGTTATAAGATTCTACCTGACAATTTTGTGATTTGAAGTAATTAAGCCAAAAGGTTTTTACCCTCAATAAGATCAAAGCAGATTTTTAAAAATAATTTTAAGCAGTATGTGTATTTTTGTGGACCTTCTCACATATATTCAGTAGTATGTAAATAACACTAACAAAAAAAAAAAAAGTCTGATTAGAACCTTGTGATTCCACGGTGAAATATTGCATTTATTTCGGTATAATGTTTTCTGTGGCACTGTTGTCCTCAGTCAGCCATATCTGAAAAAAAAAAAACCAAAAAAAAAAAACCAAATGAAAGCAGGCAGTATGAGTATGTGTTTTTTTTCCCTATTTGGAGAAAGAGAGGGCAAACATCATTGAAACCTAATAGCTCTTCTGTCAGTGGTAGAGTGGTCTCAGTGGTTCTGTCAGAGTTTCAGGGCTGAAAAAACATGTATCCAAAAACAGAAAGGAACAAAACAAGATCCCTCTATTGCATGGCAATACTGTGTGTCAAAGATTTCCTATGTTAGCTTTGGAATTATTATAGACATGATTATTATAGATCTAGTACCACCATTAAAAACCTCAAACTGCACATTTAAATGAATACATGAAGGCATAAGGGCTGTAACTGGGAAGAGATTAATGTTTCCTCAAAGCCTTAAGGAAACATCTTTGGAACTGGGATGTTACACAAGACTTAATTTTCATGATACTTTGTTGAGTTGTAATTCAAGCATTTGTTATGTGTTGTAATAAAGAGTTGCCTCCTAGCATGCAGTCATGGAGAGTAACTGAGAATTCAAGACATCTGTGTTTCTTATCCAGTTATTCACTATTGCACCACTGTTAGGTTTCTACAACATAGTCCAACTGTAAAACTGGATACACACCCACATCCTTTATAAACTACAATCCAAGCAGCTGCGTGGATGTGTGGTATCTGGGTTTATCCTCTATCACGGAGATTCAACAGCTTAATCTCATTATCCATGCCAAGGATTGTGCCCTTAATCTTGGACCACAGTCATTGTTTACACCTCTTGGCAGCTAAATATTGCACGTTCATCAATTTGATTCACTTTCGGTGAATGGTCCCTTGTTGGTTTTATGAATAACTGGATTGAGAATGTGAGTGATGGATGGTGTGTGTAAAACACAAACCCAGAAACCTGAGTGATATTTGACTCATTACAAGTGGTGTCTTGTTAGAAAAACATTTAATCGCAAACAACAACATAACATACAGTCTATCCTTTTTTTCTCTGAATGATGAATAATGTGGCATGGGCCATGGCATATGCTTTCTCTCCATTCCAAACCTCCAATCTGTCCTGAGTCTCTTTCTGAAACAATGGCACCCTCTGTAGGAGAAAGTATAATATAACTTATATGCAACTTATAAGTGAGTTCAGTCCAAGCATAAAGCTGTTCAAGGAGCTGATTTCTATCAAATGACCAAAAACAAGCACACAATAAAGCACACAAAAAAATTTGGAAGAAAACGGAAGAACCTAGCCACATCTAAACACAAAAGCTGGAGTATGATCAAGAGCTAGCAAGTGCACACTAGCCAGACTTTAATTAATCTGTCACTATGATTAATGTGGAAAAAAGATTAAAATGCAAATCGCTACATATAACCATAACAAAGTTTATCAATCATGCATTCAGTAAACTGCCTAGCCCACTACACTCTTACAGTTTTAGATTTTAAAATTACATTTACTCCACTGCCATTCAGAACTGCCATTTCAGTTGTATATACACTATGGAAGCAAACACAGAGTTTAATAATTTATACATATTTAACAATTAAATCAATTTGCCAACAACATACACAAAACAACCCTCTTTCGGCTGCTCCCGTTAGGAATCGCCACAGCAAATCATTGGTGTAAATATTTAATATGGCACAGTTTTTATGCCAGATACCCTTCCTGACACAGCCATCCCCAATTTTTTCAGGCCTTGGGACCAGCACTGAAAGCACACTGATGTACACACCCCCAGTGGCTGGGGTTGGTTCCCTGGCTAGGAATCGAACCCGGGCCGCAGCACTGAGAGTAATGTGGCCTAACCAGTAGTCCTCCAGGGACCCATAAGACAGCTCAACACTAACTGACATTTAATTAAGGTGAACCTACCTGTTGTCACTTAAGCTGCATTTAGTCAGACCAGTTTGTTCTATGTTACAAACCATATTACCTAGGGGTGTAATACAATGCCATTTTCTGTATTTGTATCGGTTTAGTGCTCTGTATCTATACCCCATGTGCATTCAGATTTAAAACTGAAGTGGGCATGGCCTAAACTGGAAAGTTTCTCAGATTTGTGTATATGACACTAGCCAGCTCTCCTCTATCATATGACATCTACAAGCCAGAGATAGTGAGATCTAACACATGCTTCATCCAAGAAAGTGAGATCTAACACATGCTTCGTCCAAGAAAGTGAGAGCTAACACATGCTTCCTTCCAAGAAAGTGAGAGCTACACATGCTTCCTCCAAGAAAGTGAGAGCTACACATGCTTCCTCCAAGAAAGTGAGAGCTACACATGCTTCCTCCAAGAAAGTGAGAGCTAACACATGCTTCCTCCATCCAACTGCAACTTTTCGAGCTGCTCATGCTCCATCACAGGGCAGCAAAACACACTTACTGAAAAGCACCATTTACCCTCTTCTGCATACATGAGCTCAGAGACGCCCATGATTGGCTAGTGTCATTGTGATTGACAGGGGAGAGTCTGCCATCCCTCCCACCCACAGAGCATGGCCATTTTTGCTCCCTTGGTTCCCAGTCACTGACAGCTGTGGCATCTTCAGAATTACAACTCACAAACTCCAGACAACAGTTGCACAAGTTGAGTCTATATAAGATGTTTGTTGTTAAGAGCAGACAATAATTAACATTTGTGTTTGAAGCATTTGTGTGTTACCAGCAGGATAAAAAAGAATTTATCTCAAAATTATATTAATGCATTCTTGACAATTTATTAACAGAATCTCTGATGAATGGTTAAATAAATTTTTTTTTTTTTGGACAGGGTTTGCTACATGTATCACTGCACTGATTTTTTTAATTTAATGAACAGTACCTTTACGATTACAGTATTGAGATGTCAGTTATTTCGTCTCCTTCTCTTCCATGATGATAATGGAACAGGTTATTGCAAAGAGGGTTGATTACTTGGTTAATATATAACAAAACATAGTTAATTTGTATTTAATTAATACAATTTATTGTACTATATTTTACTATCCATTGTAGTTTCACATGTTCTCTCTGTGTTCACATGGGGTTCCTCTGGGTTCTTGGGCAGATTGCTATGGTAAAGTTTTCTGAGGTGTGAAAGTGTGCGTGTGTGTGTATGTGTGTGTGTCCTCAGCAATGCATAAAAATGTATACTTTTTAAAATATATAAATTCAAGTCAAAATCTATTCTTTGAAGTACATTAAGTTCAGTGATCACACAAAGTGGAGTTCAGTGGTCAGTATAGCAGTGTGGCAATATATTAGTAAATTTGTCTTAAAATACATTAATATTTCTAAGCATAAGAGCATGTTATGTCAAATTAGCATACGTGAAGCATCTGAATTCAGAAAAAAAAAGTAATCACTGGAAATTGTAGGAAAAAGGGGTGCACACAAAATCCATGTGCTGTCTAATATTTTTACTGGCCTCAACTACAACTGAAATATAACAGTTAAGCTTAAACTTTATAAAAGTTATAAAAGAATATGTGGTCGGTCCGATTTAAGAAACTATAATGTATAGTTTAAATAAACATATTTAGTTACTCATTAAAACATGATTTCATTGCTTACACTAAATTTCATTTAAACAAAAATCTAATCTATTAGCTTGATGTCATGACAGCATCAAAGGGGCGCTGAACTACATTATCCATCAGCCCCTTCCGTTTAAGGTCTATATTTGGGTTGCAGCCATATTCAGAATACGATGTTTAGAATAGGATGCATCGGAATATTCCTGTATCCATGGTTATTGTATGTATGCCTGAGTTGCCATTCCTAAAGACCTAGCCTACAGCTAAGCATCTGTTAGCACCCACAATTCCTTGCTGACTGAGTATGCGCATATATCTCCTATCAGTGGGTTTTCTGAATAAGGTGTTTACATGCAACAAATTTCCGATCAAAACACCCATATTCCAAGGGTGGGCATCGGAATTTGGGGAATCAGAATATTGTCTTAATCTGAATCAATACTAATTAGAATACTGCCAAATTCCGATTCGGAATATTGATGTGCATGTAAACGTAGCCATTGTCGTGTTGTCGTGTGTATGTGTTGTTGTGTGTGCCACAGCCTTACTCAGAGTCTGCTTGTTTTATGGTTATGGTTCTTGTTTTCACTGTTTAGTTGTTTGTGTTGCAATTTTATAAAATAAAATCTGCACTTGGATCCGCTGCCTCTACAAATCGTGACACTTGAATTATGTAGAATGAGTGTGATCCATTGCCCTATCTAGTCATGTTATCAAATCTCACAAGGATGTTGGTGCTGTCTAGCAAACTCCACCCACATTGAGTGGACACTCAGCGGGGGAGGGGCAAAACATTTAAAGATTCTCTGCAAGGGAGTCCTACCAACATTACACTCTGCAGCTACATATGATATACTCTCTGTCAGAGCTTTACAAAATGAGCAGCAGAAGTAAACAGATGACAGACCTGGAGGCTCTGAAACTCATCCTTGATCATGAAAGTGAAATAGAGGAGGATGTGTCTGAAGATGAAGACCATCTTGAGGTCAATTCTGAATCTGATGATTCTGATTATGAACCAAATGAGGAAACTGCTATTCATATTCCTCCAAGCAAGACATTCACATCAAAAAATGGTGAAATACAGTGGTCTTCATTCCCAAATACACATCAGGCAAAACTGTCTGCAGAAAACATAATAAAGACAGTGCCAGGGCCCACTAGGATGGCAGTGACTCGTGTGACAGGCATCAAGTCAGCTTTTGAGCTGGTCATGCCCAGCTCAATACAGAAAATCATTCTTGAAATGACTAATTTAGAAGGAAGGCGTGTTTTCAGTGAGTGGAAGGAGCTGGATAATATGCATTTACATGCATATCTGGGAGTCCTCATCCGGGCTGGGGTCTATAAGTCAAAGGATGAATCAACAGCCAGTCCGTGGGATGCAGAGACAGGCAGGGCTATATTTCGTGCCACAATGTCTCTGGAGACTTTTCATATTTTCTCCAGAGTAATCTGATTTGATAATCGAGAGACAAGGGCTGTCAGACGGGAGAGAGACAAGCTGGCAGCTATTAGGACAGTGTGGGACAAGTGGGTAGAGCAACTTCCACTACTCTATAACCCAGGCCCTAATGTCACAGTGGATGAAAGGCTAGTGGCATTCAGAGGTCGCTGCCCATTTAGGCAATATATGCCTTCCAAACCAGCTAAATACGGCATATATTGCCTAAATGGGCAGCGACCTCTGAATGCCACTAGCATTGTGATGCAGCATGTGATGCAAACACCAGCTATGCATTGAACATGCGGGTTTACACTGGAAAGCCGGTTGGAGGAGCCCCAGAGAAGAATCAGGGTACGAGGGTCGTGCTTGATATGGCACATGGTCTCAGGGGGCACAACATAACCTTTCACAAGCTACAACTTGGGTCAGGAGCTTCTAAAGAGAAAGCTCACGATGGTCGGAATGGTCCGAAAAAACAGGGCTGAACTCCCTGCTGAGCTGCTGGTAACCAAGAACAGGGCCCCTCAGTCTTCCATGTTTGCTTTCACAGACACGACAGCCCTAGTGTCTTACTGCCCCAAAAAGGGGAAAAATGTTGTGCTCATGAGCACTTTGCACAAAAATGCTGAAATCAGCACAGGAGAGGACCAGAAACCAAGTATGATTCTAGACTACAATGCCACCAAAGGGGGGGTGGACAACTTGGACAAAGTCACGGGTTCCTACAGCACCAAGCCAATGACTGCGCGCTGTATGTATCAGCCTACACCGCATTCGTCATTTGGATGGAGATCTTTCCTGAGTGGAATGTGTCAAAGCTGTACAAGAGGCGCATCTTCCTTAAGGAGCTGGGGAAGGCACTTGTGGTACCGTATATACAACGGAGGCAGCACATACCAAGGACCCCAGCCGCTGCAGCTACAGTGAGGGAGATCCAAGAGAGGACTTCACCTAGTGCACCAGTACATGAGGTAAGTAAGTGTGTGTGTGTGTGTGTGTGTGTGTGTGTGTGTGTGTGTGCATGCGTGCGTGCGTGTCTGTGTGAGAGCATGTTGTGTGTGTCTTGGGATCAGCAAAAAAACAATAATCATCGTCCTCTTATTTCTAGGTTGCTGCTGGGGGAAAAAGGAAGAGGAAGAGGTGCCAGGTCTGCAAGCCATCTGATGATGTCAAGACGAGCATGACCTGTGTGAAATGTGCAAAATTCATTTGCACAAAGCACACTGTGATGACATGTCCCTCATGTGCTGTATAGATGCACACACATGCACCTTGTTCATTTCCACCTATTCCACCTGTGTCTCGTGTTAATTTATCTACAACACTCCATAAAAAGAAAAACTTTCAAAATGTAAAATAAAATTTTAAAAAATCAATGTCATGTAAAACTATTGTATTTTATATGTGGGTCTTTCCAATGTACATTAAAAAAAAGTTTTAACATGCATTTTTTATGAAAAACGAGTGAATTATCCTCATTAAACCATGATCTGTGAGAGGTAAAGAACACCACTGCACTAAATATAAAAAATGAGGCTAGCGTAAATGCCTAAATGGTCTAAATATTGGGAGATAGAAAGGAATATTATTGAGTGCATGGATAATGGCCATACCAAGCAATGATAAAAAGGTATATTGCAGATTTGGCAAATCAAAAATGCATGCACACAGCAGTGGCCCATTCAAAGAAAGAAACACACAAAAAAATCTGCATTTTTGGGCTAGTTTTATTCCTTTTTGGACATTTTTAAGATGCACCCAAACACCAAGTATCCCCAAATATAACAAACTGCATCACTCACCTGCTCACCTATTCATATGCAGTACTTTATCTGGAATCATGACACTAGGTTGACATT